CTATTTAGACCCTAATCGTATATGTTTCTTCGTCTTACACTCGCCATACCCATACGTGTAATATAATTAAGAACTCTTTTCGCATTTCACCCATTGTGGTTACATATTGTTAAAATTTTGGTTTTATTACAATTGTTACTATAAAGAAAATTGTTATCTGTGTTTTGTCAGAAGATAGTTTTAATATTTTAATTTTTAAGATAGTGAACAAGAAAATTTAAAATATGAAATACCTATACAGTGTGTTTCCTTTTAAAGGTAACACTAAATAATTCTGTCCAGTGACATCGGATTAATATGCGGTTTTCAGGAGGGGATAGCCGGATAGGGAATACATAAATACATATTTCTTAATGATTTTTACATTTTTAGATCTTTCCATGTGCGCATGCGCAATACAACTTGCATTTTTTTAAATGGCAACAGGTGTTTTTAATACCAAATTCGGATAGACCGAATTTTTTTAAGTCGATTTGGTCCTTTTTACCATAGTTCTAAAATCAAAATTAACTAAATGGCAACCAGTCAAAGTTTCAATTAAAATTATTGAATTTTTCACCAATCATACTAGAATTTTATGAATTATTATGAAATTTTATTTATTATTTTTGTATCCGTAGGTTTGCAGATATTATTAAATCATTTAAATTTAATTTTGAGGAATTAATTAACCTCACAACGTAAATCTATCCAAATAAATAATAGAAATGTTTGAAATTGTAAAAAAATTGTGTTAATTAGTTAATTTTGTTAACCCGTTGTTAGTACCCACTCATGTAGCCATTGGTTCTCAACTTTGTACCGTCACGCTGCCGTTACGTATCGTACTCACGGGCACGAACAATGAGCGGTAACCGGTTTTATAGGGTAGGCCAGCTGTAGTTCTTTCAATTCTTTTGTATTCCTTATATCCCTTATAAAAAAATAGACATTAAATATTGGAGGGGAACTGCATGCACAGTTGTACAGTCGTACAATGTTTGCCTGTTCTGTCGTTTGTACACTGTGCTGTAGTAAACATATATTTTGTGCGTGCCACGTTTTTATAATTTGTGAATATTTTTATTTGATAAACCGTTTTTTTTATATATAAAATGTCGTTTAAAGATCGTGACACTCATAGCCAGAGAAAAAAAATGATTTATAATGTTTATAATTTTATTAAAATGCTGTTGGAGAAAAAAGATTTGACACCAGACTTTTTCAAAAGTAGCCAAAAAGTCGCTGCTGAAGCTTGTGGCGTTTCATATATAACGCTGAGGCGTATATGTGTAGAAGCCAAAAAATCTACAGAGCAGGATGATGAGGAAGGACCATCTTTTAAATCACCACGAAAATTATATAAGCGTCAAAAGAAATGTACGGAAATGGATGATTTTGATGCTGACGTAGTTCGTCGAACGGTACATTCGTTTTACGATAAAGGTGAATATCCAACTGCTTTATTAATCTTAAACGAACTTAAAAAAAGAATGCCAAATTATGAGGGACCCGTTAGGTCAGTCAGAAGGCTATTAAAAAACTTGAATTTTTCATTTAAAAAATGTAATGATGGTCGAAAAATGCTATTGGAACGAAATGATATTGTTGCTTTACGTTGTAAATTTTTACGTAACATTTGTACACTTTGACAAATGAAAGATTGTCGACCAGTGATTTACCTAGATGAAACTTGGGTAAATCAGAACCATTCACGATCTCATATTTGGCAAAATAACGAAGGAACAGAAGGGTTAAAAGTACCAATCGGTAAAGGAGGTCGTCTAATTATTACACACGCTGGGTCATCTCGATACGGGTTCATAGAAGGGTCAAAATTAGTTTTTAAATGTCAAGCGAAAAATTCTATTGACTATCATTCGTCAATGAACGCCGATGTTTTTAAAGTATGGTTTATAGATATGTTAAAACTACTTCCCGAACCATGCGTTATTATTATGGATAACGCACCATATAATTCCACGTATATTAACAACTACCCAAAATGCAATGCTCGGAAAGCTGATGTGCAGAATTGGCTGAAAAATCAAGGCGTTAATTTTTCATCACTAGAAACATTAGCTGAATTGCGTGAACGACTTAAATTGTTAATACCGTCGTTTAAAAGGTACGAGTTCGATGGGACATGAAGTAATTCGGCTACCACCGTATCACTGCCAGTATAACCCTATCGAACTCATATGGGCGCAAGTCAAAAGTGAAGTGGCAAAAAAAAATAACACTTTCAAAATGGTGGACGTCGAAAGACTTACAAACGAGGCGTTGGATTCGGTATCAAAAAGTGACTGGGAGAAATGTGTTGAACATGCCGAGAAGATTCAAGATGAAGATAACGAAAAGGAAATATTAAGAGACAGTTTGACGGAGCCAATGATTTTAACATTTGCATCTGATGACAGTGATTTCGGTACTGACGGAGACAGCGAAAACGACGTTGAAGAACTAGAATAAAAATTATTATTTCATTATTATGTTATACTTATATTTTATTTATTATTAACTGTTAAAATTATTGTATCTTTTTATACATTATGTACATTATTTATTTGTTCATATCTTATTAAAAAATTAACTATAACAAAATAACTATGTTATTAAATTCTGATAAATGTATGAAAATATTTCAAAAAAAAAGCGGGTTTTTAGTTTGGTAATTTGATAACCATTTTAGAAAAACAGCCACTTGGCGCGTGGCGGGCAGTGATCATTTTTCGTGTCCCCGACTATAGTCTACATACTACACTATACTCTTATCACAATCAACCAATTTTTATTTTGTTTTTGTCATGGTTATACTTATAATTAATATAATGACAGTGATAACATTTCTCCTGTGTACTTATAATTTTTTCTTCAATAATACATTTTAAATCCGTCCGTGCTATGTTGAGTAATATTAATTACCATCTCAACTTCAATTGTGAGTGTTTGCAATCTTCCATATACCGGATTTCAGATTTTTTTTTGTGGATTTTCGTTGCACTAACATTTTCATATTTGGTGAGCCAATTTTTTTCTTCTTATCACAAATCATCGTTCACAGAATTCAACAGCTGTTATTCTCCCGAACAACAACTGATATTTGGAGAATTTAACGAACGTTTATAAAGTGAAGTACTATTATTATCAACCTAAATATTATACATAATCTACAACAGCTGTTAATCTCACCAACACCAAATTATCTGGAGACTTAAAAGATCGTATATGAGATATTATTAATTAACCATATTCTCGTTCTTAAACTTCGTGCTTCTAATACACCAGTTACCCATCAAAACTTATCTTTAGATTTATTTTTATTATTATTATTAAAATCTAAGGTAAAATCGACAACTTAATTAAAGCTGTGAGTGAAATCAAATCCACACAAAATAAGTTGGTCTCAATGATGAATTCACAATCTGAAAAAATGTCAAGCCTTACCTCCAAAATGAATGATCTTACATCGAAATTAGACATCCTATCCTCCGATAATGAATCATTAAAACTTCGAGTATCAGCTATCGAAGATAACCTTAACAAAACGAATATCTCAAATTTTTCCTCTTCCAATAATCTAATAGCTGAAATGCTTGATATCCAGAGTCGTCAAAAAAACATTTTATTATTTAATCTTTCGGAACCTACTTCATTATCTAATGACACGAATGTAGATGACCTTACTGCAATAACTAAGATTTTTGAATTTCTTGGATTACAAATTGAACCAACTTCTATATCTCGATTGGGTTCTCGTTCTTTAACTGCTTCCAAGCCAAGGCCAATAAAATTAACACTTTCTGATCAAAAAGAAGTTTTCTCCATATTTTCTGCTCAGAACAAACTGAAGACACATCAAGCTTGGACTAATCTTCGTTTCTCCTCAGACAGAACTAAAGCTCAACGTGACTTTATGATCCATCTACGGAATGAACTCCTTCGACGCAGAGAAAATGGTGAACCAGAATTAATAATTAAATATGTTAAGGGTACTCCTGCCATTATAAATTCAAAAAACGTATAAATGTCCCTGGTGCACAGTTTGATATTTATTATCAAAATGTCAGGGGACTAAATACCAAAATTAATCTTTTAAATACTAATATTCCTGTTTCTGATTTTTGTGCAATTGTTTTCTCTGAAACATGGTTACGTTGTGATCTTAATTCCTCGGAACTTGGTTTCTTTAATTATTCCATATATAGATGTGACAGATCTAGTAACACAAGCTGTTTAACCAGAGGCGGTGGCGTCTTAATAGCTATCAAGAATAAATTTTTCTCAGCAAAACTAAATATAGTTACAGGTTCATTAGAGTTGATTTTTGTTTTAATTAAAGTAAATGACAGAAAAAAAATAATTCTTAGTTGTGTCTATTTCCCCCCCAAATTCTGATTCCACTCTTTACCAATCATACTTTAATATTATTGAGGATGTAATTGTATTATATCCTAATACAGATTTGCTTCTCTTAGGGGATTTTAATCTTCCCCATTTAGAGCTGATATAAAGCTATATCAAACCCAAATCTTAACCTTGCTTCATCTGAATCCATCTTTCTTCAAAACATTTCTTTGCTCAATCTCTTTCAAATTAATTCTATTCTTAACAGCAAGAACTCCATGCTCGATTTCATTTTATCTAATTCTCCTGCTTCTAATGTTTCCTTACATAATGACCCGATTGTTCCAATAGAAGCTTACCACCCTCCTTTATACATTAATTATTTGTTTGATAAATCGTTTTCTTCTCTTACTTTTTCCGAAACATCCTATGACTGGAAAAAAAGTGATTTTAGTTCCATCCTCTCATTTTTAGGTTCTATTGACTGGATCTCTATTTTCAGTAATTATAATGATATTTCTTCAATGTTACATGAATTGTATTCCATTTTATTTTCAACTATAGATTCTTTCATACCAAAAAAGAAAATTTTTTCATCAAAATTTCCTATCTGGTACTCAAAAGACTTAAAATCTTTAATTAAACAAAAAAAATTACTGCATGTTATATAGAAAATGTCTAAATCTAATTTGGATTATTTAAATTTCTCCTCTATCCGATCCCTTTGCAAGCAACGTAGTAAAACTGATTATGCCTGCTATTTAAATAAAATTCAACTTTCTCTAAAATCTAACCCTAAACAATTTTGGTCCTTTATGAGAAATTTAAAATGTTCTTCAGGTTTACCGAATTCTTTATCCCTTAATAATCTAATAGCTGATAACGGTCAAGATATAGTAAATTTATTTAGTAGTTATTTTGCCTCTACTTATAAAAAAGTAAATGCTCCTGCTCTTTCCACCCTTGTCATAAAATCTTTTCAATCAATAAATAATTGTGACATAAACCTTCTTGATGTCTTCAATGAACTCGACACTTTAAATTATAAAACCCCTACTGGCCCAGATGGCATTAATCCTTTATTTTTATATACATCAACACCTCCCTTTACACGAGTTGCTTCCCATCAATTTGGAAAAACACATTCATTAATCCTATTTTGAAAAATGGAGATAAATCTTTAATTTCCAACTACCGCCCTATATCTATTATTTCTATCATCCCTAAAATGTTCTCTAAAATTATCAATTCTAAAATCTCTCCTCTCCTTAATAATATCCTGGCAACATGGATTCCGTAAAAAAAATCTACAATCACTAACTTAATCACTTATAAACATTCTCTCTTAAATTCTTTTTCAACTAAACAACAAACGGATGTTATTTATACAGCCTTTGAAAAAGCATTTGACAGAATGAATCATTCACTTTTAATTAACAAACTTAAAATGATTGGTTTTGCTGATCCGCTATTATCCTGGCTAAATTCTTTTTTAATCAATAGATCACAATTTGTCAAATTCAAAAATTTTATTTCTGATCCTATTCCAGTTATTTCAGGTGTCCCCCAGGGTGACCACCTCTCACCTATTCTGTTTAACCTATTTATTAATGATATTGTTTTAGCCTTGAATTATTCAAATATTCTACTCTTCGCTGATGATGCAAAATTTTTTTAAATTAATAAGTTGTCAAAATGATTCACTTCTCTTACAAAAAGATTTAGATAATATTAACCATTGGTGTAAATCAAATGGAATTTTGATTAATTTAAATAAATGCCACTCTATAACCTTTTCTATGAAACATAATCCTATTTTTGTTAATTATAAACTTGATAATCATTCATTAAATCGTACATCCAATATTAAAGATCTTGGTATAATTTTTGACTCAAAACTCTTATTTAATTTACATATTTTCAAAATAAAAAAAAATCTTTAGCTGTCTTTGGTATGATTAAAAGAAACTGTTTAAATTTCAATGATCCCAGTACCTTTAAAAGTTTATACTCATCTCTTATCCGTCCTCATCTGGAATATGGGTCTATAATATGGGAAACATGGACTTCATCTCATAATAAACAAATTGAAGAAGTGCAAAATAAAGTTTTAAGATATATTTCCCATAAATGCAATATATTTAGACTGCCCCACTCTGGTTATGATATTATTCTTAATAAATTAAATTTAAAAACATTAAAAGATAGAAGACAAAATTCCTACTCTATATTCCTTAATAAATTATTAAACAACGAAATCGACGATTCCTTCATCCTTAGCCTCATATCATTCAAAATTAACAATCACAATACTCGAAACAAAGATCTTTTCTTTATTCCACATTATTCAAAAAATTACATGTCACATTCACCAATTAATATATTATTATCTGCCGGGAATACCTTAAATAGCAATATTTTATTTCTGTAATTCTAGCTATTACCTAACATCTATTTAATTTTATTTATTATATTATTTTTATTTTAAAAATGTCACTATTATCCTACACTTTTGTTTTTTTTCTTCTTCATAAATATCTTATTATCAACATAGTTGACACCTATATATTTTGTATTATCATTGGTCAATGGTCATTATTGTTATTGTATTATTTCTATTTTTAGAAATCTATTATTACTAGTATTATTTAAATATTAAGCATTCACTTGTTATTTGGGCTAACGCCTGTTATTATTATAAATAAATAAATAAATAAATAAATAAATAAATAATGTTTATCTTTTCTAATAATAGACATCATTCATTATTGACCATCGAACATATAATAAACATATAATCATGGTTTTTGCACGATAACAATAACAAACAAAAAATGTCCCCCACACGTACCTTAAAATGTAAATATAATTTTATATATTGTAGTTGTTTTGTACATTAGAAGATGTTTTTTGCTGATTTTAGCTTTGAAATGTATTTCAATACGGTCCAAACTAATTTTCCTGAGAGCCAAGATACCAAAACAAATCATTAATGAGTACCGAAACTATAAGAATGTGTTCGACAAATTGTTTTTTGCGGACTGTAAGTAGGTACTTAACCTAGTAACCTTTGATAAATGTAGGTGTTAATTTTCTCCATGTATTTTTATAAGGATACCATTATGTTTTATGTTTTAGTCTTACATATCCCACCAATAGTTAGTACAAATTATAATTATATTAAAACTTAACTATTTATATATATATATTTTTTTAATCGACTTGTACGTCGTTGTAATATTTTTTAACATTATTTCTGTGAACAGTAATGCCTCGAAGTCCACGTTGTATAATTACGTTTTCGTTTCCACACTGCTATGACCTCGTACGGTTCTAACCATATTGGATCGAGTTTTGTTCTGTGATTATTATCTTTTAATAACACTAAATCTTTTACATGTATTTCTTGTGGTTTTTCGTTTTTATCGTATCTTTTCTTAATTTTTATTTTATTCTTGATTAATTGCTCTCTCGCTATCTTATGCGATATATGCATGTCTTCTTTTAAATTAAATAGATAATCATCGTAATTGTAACGTGGTTCAGGTTTGGCCTTCGAGTTAATCGGTACCTCCAATGTACATCTATAAACTAATGCGTATGGTTGAAAATTAGTAGAAGTATGTAATGTCGACTTATATACGAAGAATGCAAAGGGTAATAAATGATCCTAATTATTTAAATTCTTATCAACATAATGCCGTAATGCCGTAAGTACTCGGCTAAAGTCCTATGAGCGCGTTATACGGGGTTACTCTGCGGTCTGAATGGACTTGTGTTAACCTTTTCTATTTTTAATATTTTACAAACATTTGCAAACGTTTTCGAGAGGAAATTAGTTCCTTGATCCGTGAGTATTGTTTCTGGTATGCCGTGTACACAAACGAAGTGTGTAACAAAGGCTTCCTCAACAGTATTTGCCTTCTGGTCAGGAAGTGGAATTCCTAAAGTGTAACGTGTCAAATCGTACTCCATCGTTAAAATGTATACATTATTGGACAGTGTAATCGGCAAAGGCCCTACTATATCCATAAATATTTTTTCGAATGGTTTAGACGAAGTGGATGTAATAGCCATTGGATGTTTTATGTGCCGATTTGATACCTTATTAACCTGACATGACCCACAATTCTTCATATATTTTCTAACGTCTTCTTTCATACCCTTCCATAAGAATTGTTTTTTAATGCGCTTAATGGTTTTATCCACACCTAAATGTTCGCTTAGTTTTGAATCGTGAAATTGTAATAAAATGATTGCTTTTTCTTCTGCATTATATTCTATATTTGCACATATAATTAATTCTATATCTTTTTTGCAAAATATGTATTGTAACATTGACCTTATTTTTTCCCATTCTAAATCATCGTGATCGTGATCGCCTATCTTGCCCATGGCTAATTTATTCAGATTGTATTCCTTACAAAATAGTTTTAAATTTATTAGTGATACATATATGCTTTCGTAAGTGGCCTTCTGTCGGTCTTTATTTTTCGTTACTAAGAATATTATAAACCTGTTTTCCTGTTTGAAATAGGGTGTGTCTCCTATTACTTTACTAGTCGGCAATATTGTACCGTTTCCGAATTGTTTTTTCAGCTGATAATTTGTTCCTGTTATAAAATTATATTGCTTGGCAATTTCTGATACTATATTATATTCTTTTGGTAAATCTATTAGTGTACCTATAGGTTCTTTTACATTAATATTTGTGATAATTTGTGTTCCTAACTTTTCGATATATTGTTCGTATGATTCGTTTTTTATTTCCTGAATTGAATATATGCGTGTGAGAGTACCTACATTTGAATTTAGAACTCCGGGTTTGTGACGTATTTGTAATTGATTTGTGTTAGCGGCGAATTAATTAAATGTTATATGATTATTTTCTAAGTTTGAGAATATGTGGAATATTCGTGAGTCGGTTGTTCCGCGATAATCTGGTTTATCGTACGAGTACCACGCCTCTCGTTCGACACGTTTTCGTTTTCCGAATTATTAACGTTTCTACTCTCATCGTTTCTCTTTTTATAACACGAGACGATATTATGACCAGTTCGATTACAGTATGAACACGTAACTACCTGTATATTATAATTCGTAGGTGGTTGCGTAAAATTATTCCTATCAGGTGGACGGTTGTTATTGCCATTGCTCGCATAACTCAGTCTCGTATTATTTCTACATTGGGACGCATAATGATTACCATTACAATTATAGCACTTTATTGCTGGCCTATTGATTGGTTGAGAAAAATTGTTTGCTCGCGGATAATTATTTGTCCTTACAGGGTTATTTGGTCTAATGTTTTCGTTGTTCCTATTTTCGTAATTCGATCTGCGCTGGTTATAATTTTGTGAATGAATATTCGAATAATGGTTCCTATTTTCCTGTTCTAGTCTTAGTTCCACCTGTTCCGACATAGCAAGTTGTTTCGAGATCTCCAGAGTTTTGGGATTACGAGATTTTACTATTGTTCTAATCGGTTCTACTAATCCTTTAATAAATATCGCTAGAGATTGTTCCCTTAATATATTATGTATAATTTTTGCTTCTGCAGCTTCTTTGACTAATGTACTTACGGTACATAACTGATAATATAGTTTCTCTACTCTATGACAATAATCATTTGCATCCTCATTGTGATACATTCTAATCGAATTTAATTGAAGTTGTAACGACGATGCCGTGGTTGTTACCTCAAATGCATCTCTTAAATACATTTTTATAAACTGCCATTTCGATACATTTTTGTATTTAATCATTTCTAATGCTCTGCCCGTTAAACGTGTGGTAATATATTTTTTTAGTGTTGGTGCACTGTTTGTGTCGACTAAACTTACTGCCATATCGCATACATTTATGAATTGATAGATATCGTCTATTCCTGTGCATAGTGGAATTAATTTAAAAGCGTATTCTAATTTTATGGTTACTACCATTTTTTTAGTGCGTGTTATAGGTAAAAATTATAATGACTGATGTTCAAAACTATCTGTAACTTGGCTACGTGTGTTTACTCCTGGACTTGGGTTTCTACTTGCGCTACCTCCTAACTGAGTTTCTACTATAATATTCAACTAGGCTTTCTGTTGGGCTTCAAAATGGGCTTGGGCTTCTTTCTGGGCTAATAACTGGGCTTCTAACTGAGCTTCTTCGTTTA